GTGTGTGTGTGTGTGTGTGTGTGTGTGTGTGTGTGTGTGTGTGTGTGTGTGTGTGTGTGTGTGTGGTGGGGGGGGGACAACTAAGTCCCAGTTATGATATGTGAACGTGCCTCATACAAAGTGTTTCCTCCTATTAAGGCAATCTCCGTTACAATCACGACCCTCATCACAGAGCCACTGAAGCATGTCGGCCTGGGGATCAGCGAGTTTCTCAGAGCGCTCCTCAAAGACCTCCCGATCACTCTCCAGATCCCCGTACTCCTCACGATTGTGCTTGCCATTGTGGTAAAGGCGCTTGAATTGTCATATTTAGTTGGGCGTTATCCTCCATGTATCGCACTCTGAGAGGTTCATCGAGTGAAGAGGAATCCCGGTTAAGACAAATCTATTGTTCTTTTCAGGTATTCATGTATGGAAGTGTGCAGGCAGTTTTCCAGTATGGCATCACTGCACCTCTACGCCGCCATAGAAGGGATCCGACACTTCCACCACCGGACCAGCCTCGTCTCCAAGAAATTGAGGACCGTGGCCACATGGAACGAGGGGACATGCCGGAGTCTCGTCCACGGCGCAGTTTAGAGGATGCCCGATCGCACGGGGATCAGTTGTGCCGCTCGCGGCCCAACAAAGCCGGAGATGAGCCAGCTCGGATGTTTGTGGAGACCTTGCGCACCGCAGCTTCTTCCCACACGGAGCACGAGTTAGACGGGAAACGACCCCTGAGGCGCGTCGAGGTTGGGCAGGGGGACGAGACTGACCTTCAGTCAGACTCTGACAGCCATGCAGAGGCAGAGGCGGACCAAAGAGGCGGCATTGATGTTATATCCCAGCTTGATGCCAAAACTAAAACAAAAGCCAGTGACTGCGACTCCTCTCTGTCAGAACACCCTAAAGACGGCAACAGCAGAGAGAAGACGACATCTGGACTCCCACAGCCGCAGCCTAAAAAGAATGTGCAGGTAAGAGCCTCTTATGAACGTGTCAACGGAAATACTTCTTTGTCTTCATCATCACTGCTATCCTGGCTGCATCACAAATAAGCTGCAGACAAAGCAGAACAGACTCTGGTGGGGGTTAAACCTTGACAGGCTCACTGATCAGAAGTCTCAGATGACATTGTGTGCTAATGCTGCCTGGAAAGGTTTCCTTTGACCTCTGACAAATACCGTATTGGGCCGAATATAAGACGGTGTTTTTTGCATTGAAATAAGACTGAAAAAGTGGGGGTCGTCTTATATTCGGGGTCTAGACATTATACCCATTCACGACACTAGATGGCGCCAGATATAATTGAAGTGAATGCTGAACTAGATTCCCCAGGCCAAAATGAACACGTCACGAAGAATAAAAATAAAAAAATAGCAGTAAGAAAGAAAAGAGAAGAAAATAATAGAAGAGATAACAGAAAATGGAGAAACGTAGTGACAATCTGGAGAAAAGTGGGTCGAAGATCGGCCAGGTTAACTGGCAGCAGCGGAGAAATTATGATGTAATTTACATTTCAAAAACCAGAAGCCATTCATTTACGAATGTGATTGCACTTTAGTTTACATATTTAAATGTTCAGATATTAAGATTTGAATGAGGCAAAATAACATGCTTTTTCTCTCAAATATATTGTTATAATCTTTTGTTTCAGATGTACTGTAATTATTTTCGTCTCCTTTGGGACAAAATATCGAAACGGATAGGAAGGAATTTTACGACCCTGTAATTTTACGTTGCAATATTTGCATCCGCAGGACCTGAAGGCCTCAGCTGGAAACTCGATGCCCTCTGCCTCTCTGAAAAACGTGGAAACAGTCGGCAGCCCCATTCAGGAAACGTTACAATGAAACGGCGCACAGAGCTTGTGGCTTCACCGATGACGTCACAGTGCCAAAAATATGTCATCTCGACAGAGTTGAGGGCTGAGCATCTCTAGCCCATAACAGATCTTCACTGTTGGACGAATTAGTCTCTAAGTAGAGACGTCAATAATACAGTATGAACTGTATGAATATGATCATTGACAGCAGCCGACCAACACTTACGTACATTAAGCACCTTCAGTGATTGCTGATGTAGGACGTGTTAGTGACGGCAATTTTCAAGCGAAATTAAGGTTGTCGAGGAATGCTGCTACGTGTTTATTTTTTTTTACTTGAATATTTTTTTTCCAAGATTTTAGAATCATTGTATTTTGAGAGCGTTCAAGGCGGACGATCAAGCATATTTTATTCTTTTCTTGTATACATATCTGGGTTCAAACATGCAGAGTCTACAAGTACTGTTCTGAGAAAAAAAACCTGCAAGAAACACTTGATGCCACGTGAAGGGTAATTTAAAGTTAATCTCTATTGTCACCATGTAACTCTGTCACAAGGGAAGGTCTCATAAGACCTACAGTTAATTTAACCAGATACTTGAAATCACAGGTGATCAGGCACTGTAATAGTAAGAGGACAAACCAAAAAAATTAGGATTGGAATTCGTGCTCGGACCTACCTGAGGGAACACACTGCAACATACAGTGCCACGCAAATATATTTCCACCCTTTCAGATTTTTGATTTACATGTTCATCACACTTCAAGTGTTTAAGCAATTGCCTCCAAATCCTAATTACTGGTTGCACTTGTGCCACCTTTGGCAGTAATAACTGACCTCAAGCATTTGCATTGATGACAGAAGAAATCGCAATGGCATTCAAATTTGGTCTTTGAGGTGGTAACTGTCAAACCTTATTTTTAAGCAATTCAGAGGTGGACTTTGGGCGTTATTCTGTTCTTTGTCTCAGATGTAATTGCCCACCCGTATTTCTTTTGAGTTCAACTTTTCTTGTCAGTCCAAATCAGTGATGGATAGTGCCTCTGCTACCTGGAGCTTCACCGAGGACTTACTCAATGACTTAGTTCACCTCCTAAGACAATATTACTCAATGATTGTGGCTAATACTGTTTTACTGTTTGTTTTAATTTTTTTTAACTATTGGGCATTAAATTGTTTTGAGACGTGTGCTTTACTCTTGTTGTTATTATCTAAGTGGCGGTTGCGCACTTTTAATGTATGTTCCCCTCGGAATGGTTATGTGTAAAACCAGTAGAGATCAGGAGTGTCATGAATGCATTTGTTTTTTTAAATGATTGTACTTAACATTTAAGCACCTTCAAAGTGTCACACCTGAATGACACTTTGTCTATATTCAAAAAAATATCTGATCACAGAGGAAGTGATGGCAGAGATTTCTATTCTGTGGCTGGAGCAACTCAGGTGGACCACATTTTCATTTTCTCCCTGAAAAGAAAAACAGCTCCAGAGATCCAACGACATTGACAGACCTCCAGACATAACACTGTATTTTTCTCATCAATGCCCTGCAACCCTAACTTTTCAGAATGCTTGTTCCCAGACTAAAAGAAAAAGCAATCTGATTACCGTATTCCTGATTACCGTATTCCTGTCCAGGCCACTGTCTCTACATTTACCATTTGCCATTTCCATCAAGAAAAGGTCTCCATTTACTTACCAAACAGTGAAAAGGAAGCTACAAATTTGTATGAAATGGCCACAAATTAGTGTTTTGTGATTGTGGTGTATAGTTTCCACAAGAACAAGTTCCATGATGCGCCCCTTGACAACTTGGAGCGCCTTGCTCTTGGCGTATTTTTGTGCCTTCTATATATTGCCCTTAGACGCCACAAGAGGGCGCCACAGCCCAAACAAAAGGAAAGATCTTTGAGAGGCTGACCCAGATGCAGCAACCTGTGATACATTTTTTTATTCCCCCAGAATCAAGTCATGTCTTTTATAAATTGTTTCCTGAGTGCACTCTTGTAAAATAATTTAAGAATTATATTACAATATTTTGGGATGACTGCCAGTGGTGTATTTAATGTTAAAACTATGAATATAAGCAATTATAAACATTTTAAGGGGCATGAAATAGGCAACTCACCGATTACAGGGAGGGATCAGTCCCTATCCCCAATTGAGGTCATGGAAACACTGCTGTGAATAGCGATATCTGCAAGTATTTAAAAGGCTTTATAATTTCAACAAAATAGTAACAACATCGGAACGAAAGGACAAAAGGTCTGTCGCTCTGACGTCTGTGATCATGAAGTACCTAACACGCCTTGTCCTGGGGCAACTAAAGAACATCACCGCACTCCTGCTGGACCCCCTGCAGTTTGCCTACATGACAGGTTAGTGGACGCCGCAGTCAGTTTGGGGCTGCACTATATCCTGGAACACCAGACCATGATTCAGTTGTCATCTGACTGGTTGCCATGTATGTCAATCAAGTAAAGGGATTGATGATAGACTGACGTAAGTTCTGCTGGATATAGCACCGTTGTTTGAATGTCAGCGCCACCGTGGAGGCGTTTTCGACGCTTGTCAAGTGAAAGCCAGGGAGCCGCAATGAACCAGCCAAAGAGCTATATGCGGCCCACGAGCCGCGGGTTGAACACCATTCTATAGAGGGTCGTTTTTTTCCGGCTAAAACACCTGACCATACATGATAGTGTATGGTAAAAACCGGTCGGAAAAACCGACCATGTATAGTAAGGCGGGTTTTTTTAACCAAAAAATCAACCATGTAAAAGTAAAGCATTTTCAGCAGAAAAAAATGACCATATAGTAAGGCGTTTTTTGCCGAAAAAAAACGACCATCCATAGTAGGGCGTTTTTAGTCGAAAAAAACGACCATGTACGGAGACGTTTTTAGCCGAAAAAACGACCATGTATAGTAAGGCGTTTTTTTTTTTAACCCAAAAAAATCGACCATGTAAATTAAGGCGTTTTTAGCCGAAAAACAGACCATGTATAGTAAGGCGATTTTTAACCAAAAAAACAACCATGTAAACTTTACATGGTTGGTCTTTTTTCGGCCCAAAAAACAATAACCATGTATACTAAGGCGTTTTTGGCCGAAAATAGTAAGGCGTTTTTGGCCCAAAAAAAATAACCATGTATACTAAGGCGTTTTTGGCCGAAAAAAACGACCATGTACGGAGACGTTTTTAGCCGAAAAAACGACCATGTATAGTAAGGCGTTTTTTTTTTTTAACCCAAAAAAATCGACCATGTAAATTAAGGCGTTTTTAGCCGAAAAACAGACCATGTATAGTAAGGCGATTTTTAACCAAAAAAACAACCATGTAAACTTTACATGGTTGGTCTTTTTTCGGCTAAAAACGCCTTACTATACATTGTATAGTAAGGCGTTTTTGGCCCAAAAAAAATAACCATGTATACTAAGGCGTTTTTGGCCGAAAAAAATGACCATGTATCGTAAGGCTTTTTTGGCCGAAAAAAACGACCATGTATAATAAGGTGTTTTGGGCCGAAAAAAATAACCATGTATACTAAGGCAATTTTAGCCTCCAAAAAACGACCATGTATAGTAAGGCGTTTTTGGTCGAAAAAAA